TCGTAAACCGCCTCGCCGGAAAACCAAGAACTCCGGCACCGGAGTGAGGTTAAAAAGAGATATTGCTGGTGGGAAAAAAAGCAGACCTGAGACCCCTTTACTTCGTTGGAAGTATAACGAGGATGTAAATGACAATGCTCCTTGTACCTGGGACGCCGACGAGTCCACGGTGGAGCTTGGTAGGAAATCTGGCCGGAAAGTTAAAACCTTGGTTTCTGCTAGGAAGTTAGCTGCTGGATTGTGGAGGCTGCAGTTGCCGGAAGTTGCCAATATCCCACCTCAAAAGTTAGCATTTCAGGTAGTTCATTTTCTTTAGGGTTTTTCTTTTCCTCTCTAGTTTTGGTCATTTGTATGTTAAATGTCAATTGAATTTGGAATTGAAATGATTCTAATCCTTTTTTAATAGAGCTGAATTGATATTATATAGAGGATTCATGTAGCTGACCTCAACTAGTTTGAGATCACTTGGTTTACTTACTTGCTTTAATTACATTGACTTTGGCATTTCCTTAAAAAGATTAATTATGAATGCATGATTAGAAACTTTAGGATTGAAGTTTAAGTTTCATCTCTATAATCTATTTTAATCTTCCCAGTTGAGATTGTTTTCTGGTCCCTTTGGTATAATTGTGAGCAGCTTCACTTCTGCTTGCTTTGACTTTTTCATTTTCTTATGTTGGTAGTTTAATTTTGTTAGTCCCTGTGATTTTAGGACCATAACCGTCTCCAAGTTGGTACATTTATGACCTTAGAGCGAATGGTAACTTCGACTAGTGTTGTATTATTCCAGATCCTAAGTTAAGCAACTTTTCTCAACTTTATTTTTCAGGCTGGTCATGTTGATGTGCCCTTTTACGGCCATCATCATCACAGTGAACAGAATGATTCTCACATTAATGATACCGTGCAGAGTCCTCGATCTGTCTCCGGTCCAAGAAATGGTCTTTTTCACAAGGTATGTAGGTGCTTTCTCAATGTTTTCTTAACTATCTAAGCTCCTAAAGTTGGCGTAATAGCCCTAAACAATGTAATAGGCGCAGGAAAAGCGACTTCCCTTGTATTAGGGAAATCCTAGAGTTGTCGGAAGTTAATGAAAGTTTTTTTTTTTAGTATCAAAGACTCTTGGTATTTAGTTTATTCATGGTACTATTTTACCAATGCTGTTTCATGGTTTCCGTACTTGCTCGTCTAACAAAAGGGTTACCTCTATATTCTGTAGCTAGAACCGTCATTTCAATATTCAAACTCAGCTATGGAGGGGGCAACAAAGTGGGATCCAATTGGCTGGCAAATAGCTGAGGAAATAAAGGAGATTTACGGCCATCAGAAGGTTCCTGATAAACAGTCGAAGAATGCTGCAATGATTTCTAAGCTTGAAGGTGAATTAGAACAGGCTCGGTCCCGAATTTATCAACTTGAGATGGAGCGGCGGTCATCAAAAAAGAAACTCGAGCAGTTTCTGAGAAAACTTAGCGAAGAGAAGACAGCATGGCGAAGCCGAGAACACGAAAAAATTCGTGCAATTATCGATGATATGAAAGCTGACTTGTCAAGAGAGAGGAAAAACCGACAGAGGCTGGAAATAGTAAACTCCAAGTTAGTTAATGAGCTGGCTGATACCAAGTTATCAGCAAAGCGCTACTTGCAAGATTACGAAAAAGAAAGGAAAGGTAGAGAGTTGATAGAGGAAGTGTGTGAAGAATTAGCCAAGGAAATTGGAGAAGACAAGGCTGAAGTAGAGGCATTGAAGAGAGAATCTCAGACACTAAGAGAGGAAGTAGATGAAGAAAGAAAGATGTTGCAGATGGCTGAGGTTTGGCGTGAGGAACGGGTTCAGATGAAGCTAGTTGATGCTAAGGTGACACTAGAAGAGAAGTATTCCCAGATGAATAGACTAATTGCAGAGCTAGAGTCTTTTCTAAGTTCTAGAGGTATGAACCCTGACGAGGAAGTGATTAAAAGGGCTGAGCAGCTTCAACAGGCAGCTGCTTCAGTGGATATTCGTGATATCACGGAATTCACTTATGAACCTCCAAACCCAGATGATATTTTCTCTGTGTTTGAGGATGTTAATTTTATTGAAAATAATGACAGGGAGATTGAGCCATGTCCTGCATACAGTCCTGATGGTGGTGTATACAATAAAGACAACTTCCACAGACATTCTCACGCATATGTCAATCAAAGCGATGATTTAGAGGAAGAGGGAAGTGAATGGGAAACAGTGAGCCATCTCGATGAACAAGGTTCTAGTTATTCTCCTGAAGGAAGCATCTCTTCTACCAACAGGAAGTATAGCAATGTCTCAAGAGGTGATGGTACACCAATTACAGAGATAAGTGAAGTATGTTCAGGGCCAGGTCGGCAGCTTAAGAAGGTGTCATCTATATCTAGGCTTTGGAAATCGAATGGAGACAATTACAAAAAGATATCAGTAGAAGGAATGAATGGGAGACTATCAAATGGGAGGCTATCAAATTGTGCCGTTCTTTCTCCAGATCATGGTTCGAGTAAAAGTGGATTTAGCCCCTCAGACCTTGCTGGACAGTGGAGCTCACCCGACTCAACCAATCCACAAATAACACGAGGGATGAAAGGGTGCATTGAATGGCCGCGGAATTCTCACAAGCACAGTTTAAAATCAAAGCTGTTGGAGGCAAGAATGGAGAGCCAGAAGGTCCAGTTGCGCCATGTCTTGAAGCAGAAGATTTAGAGAGTACACGTTTTGAATGCCCAAATCGTCCGTCTCAGTTGGTATATCGATAAAACTATAACTTAAGTCCGCATTCTCCTGAGACTACAAGTTTTGCTTACTGAAACTTGTTGCATTGTCTTTGTATCAATCAGAAATGTTTTATTGGAGCTATGTAGTTGTTATCTTGTAATTTGGAAGGTGCATTATTGGCCACTGATTATGTCTTTATAATGTATTGTTTGGTGGCCAATTATACATCATCCACAGAAGTTTCAGTAAGAGGAAAGAAGAACTTAATTTGCATAATTAAATTCCTTTCCTTCCTTTGTTTCTGTCTGAAATAATTGTCCTTCTTTCTTTGCCTTCATTTATTAAAGTTGATTGTTGAAGAATGATCAAAAAGTTTGAAGAAGGAAAATAAAGTCATTGATAGAATCATGGAACCCCCCCCCCCCCCCCAACCCCCCAAGAGGAAATTGCTTCTAATTGATATTGACCACTAGGGGTGGCAAACGGTCGGGTCTGGTCGGATATGAGCGGGTCGAAAACGGGTAATTTAAAACCGGATAGATTATCTGACCCGTATTTGAGACGGATAAAAAACGGGTACCCGGCGGATAATATGGATATCCATATTATCCATGGCTTCTTGAATATGATCGCTTACGGGAGAATTCCTAGTCTCCCAAACTTGAACAACCCCCAATTTGAGGCTTTACAAATATAAAAGTTAAACACATTAATTATCCATTTGGTTAACAATTTTCTAAGTGGATAATATGGTTCTTATCCATATTCGGCCTGTTTTTAAAAAGTTTATCATCCAACCCATTTTTTAATGGATAATATGGGCGGATAACTATATTCGTTTAACCATTTCTCCACCTCTATTGACCATTCTTGTAATGAATTATATTGATATTTTTAAAAATCATGTACCATGTACGTGTATGTATATCTGTATTGTCCACATATATAAGCAATGTCTCAAAAGTTGACATATTAAGTCACATTCCAGCAAAGAACTAATCCTTTTGAGATCTCATGATACCATAAAGAAATCCATATATTAGGTATCGATAATGAACAAAATTACATGTAATAAATAAGCAGCAGATGTGCTAATTACCTATGTATTTCATTTTACTTTTTACCTCTTCTCTCCAATTAATTAGAATGTACGTACGTCCCTTTTATCATTTTTATCATGTCGTAGATTTTTTTTTTTCCGTTTATCACGTAATAATTTTGAGAAATTACAATGACTTTAGAGAGGTATCACTGCTTGTTTTATGGATTAATGAACAGCAATGGTAAATGCAAGAATAATATTTTGGAGGTATCAAACGTCAGAGGTAGCGCCAAGGAGAAAAAATGGGGAAAGTTTTGCACTTTTCTAAAACACAATGACTCAAATTGAACCATGGGCTAAGTTTTGTCTCTTTCAACTAGTCATTCCATCTTAAGTAAGAATAAAAATAAAAGGTCTAATATAATGGTTCCATCTCAATTCATAAGAAGGACCATTTGATGACCAAATAAAAGGAAAGAGCATTTTATTAAGATGTGAGTAAAAAGGGTATTTTCTAATGGCTCGTGTAATAAATAATAGAGAAGATATTTTTCCAAAGCTACATTACATGTCAATATTATATCTGCACAGACAAATAGAACAGAACATCTTTTAATAGTCAGAGATATTATTATTAAAATAAACAGAGATTTATAGAACCCGATGCATTGGACCCGGCCGCGCCATTTGCCCAATTACCTGTTTTTGACCGTTATTCCTTTCTGGACCACCTTAACGTTACGTACACCGCGCTACAGGGATCAGGTATTTTTATTTTTACAAAATATTCCTATTTAATTTTTATAGTTAACGAGGGATTACAATAGCAAGCAAACACTACTCCTCCCTCTTATGGCTCATTACAATTTTTTAAATTTTATGTCAAATTTTTCTTAAAATTTATTTTCTATATAAAAGATCTAAAAATAAAATATACCAAATTTTGCAGGCATTATATTGAACCATTTTCTTCTAAAAAAACTTTATGTTAAAATTAAAAAATTACTATATTTTTTTAGACATCTCAGGTATAAACATAAATCTCTTATGTATAAAAGTAAATCTCTCCGTAAAACTAAAAATAAGTTTGCAAATACTCACACAACCATTTGAACCCCTAATGACTTGGCACGAAATTTTTTAAAAAGTTTAAAGTTAAATATATAACTATAGAGATGTATTTTCTTTTTATATGTTAAAATGACTTATTTATTTCTCTTATCCACAACACGATATTAAAACTTAAAAAATAGGAAGTAGTTGTGTTTTCTTCAGATTCGTAAATTGTCTTTTCATTTTCAGCTGTCGTCAAGTTAAAGCGATTCTCGGTTTACTGTAAACCAATAAAAGAAGAAGAGCAATTTCCTATTTTTCGGTCAGTGCATATATAGATCTGGAACTATCGTCTTTCTTCATTACCTGCGTATCCTTTCAATTTACGAATATTGATTTTTTTTTTTCCGTTATCTGACAGATCTTTCGTGTAATTTAGCTGATTTTTTTCGCCAAAAATTTCGGTTCCATTTCTCAAGACGCTGTTCATCCAGATAAAGGTTGTCTTTTTTAACCACTTTTGGTATTTAATTATTGCAGGTAATAGCCTATTATGTACAAATTCAGCAACTTGATTTTCTTTGTTTTTTTGTAGGTGCATAGTTTGTAGATGGAAGGTGCTATAGTTCGAAGGATTATTCCTTCAGATAACAGTTGTCTCTTCAATGCTGTTGGGTAAACTTTATTTCCATTTTACTTTCTGCTGATTTTCACCCTTTTTTTCTTCCATTGGAGTGGAGACAGGATGAATTTGAATCAATGTCTCGTTCTTCTTTGTTTATGCAGTTATGTGATGGACCATGACAGAAATAAAGCCCCTGAGCTTAGACAGGTTTCAATTTTGCCTTAAATTATCGATAAAAAGATGACTTTTTGTTATGGATCTTTGTTACTTATCAATCTCGAGAGGTGACCAAAGATCATTTTTAATTTCAAGGTCGTGCCTAGGGTAACAAATAACATAAGAAAAAGAGCCATGTAGTAAAAAGACATTCCTGAGGGTTGGGTATGAAATACATTTTTAGACATCAATAGTGGACATGAAATCTGGGTTTATAATAGTTTTGAAATAATTTGTTTGCCACAGGGTAAATTTATTCAGGAAGATCACTTGATGTCAAAACAACCAGCTTCCGATTTCCTGTTTATTAATTCTATGAGTGAAAAGTTACTTAAATCAGTTCTTTTATATATATATATATATATATATATATATATATATATATATAAAATAAAAGAAAGACTTGAATCAATAGGTTGATATGGTTTGAAGCCTGGTGTATTTCTTATAAGTAAAGCTAATCAGTCCTCATCCATGACTCTTTGCACATCTTAAATTTGAAGGTTATAGCTGCAACAGTAGCAAGTGACCCGACAAAATATTCTGATGCCTTTCTTGGGAAGCCCAACAAAGAGTACTGTGATTGGATTCTTAACCCAGAGAAATGGGGAGGTATGTCTATACTTGACGTCTGTTTTAAATTATCATATTCCTGGATTATCTCAACCTCTGAAGTCCTGTTGGGGTAAAACAATAAGTTCACTAGTCAATGCTCTCCTTTTTGGTCCCTCCACAGATAGTTTTACAGTAGAACTGGGTGATAAAATCTTGCAATTAGTTGTCTGTCTAGTTGCGATTATGTTTAGCTGGATGAACTCTAGTTTCTTGCTGCTAAGGAACATCCCTTTCATATTTAATCGTTGTAGTTCTTGTTATTTGTATTGTGTTTTCTCATTGACGTTTCTGACTTTTGAAACACTTATTTTCTTAAGGTGCCATAGAGCTTTCAATATTGACTGACTACTATGGACGAGAAATCGCAGCCTATGATATTCAAACCACACGCTGTGATCTGTATGGGCAGGTTAGCATTTAAGTAGTAGGATGTGTTCTACATGAGTAATTTTCAATTCCAAGTCCTCTTAACCACCTTTATATGGCTGATCCTTAAACAGGGAAAGAACTATCAGGAAAGAGTAATGCTGATTTATGATGGGCTCCATTATGATGCTTTGGCTGTATGGTGTTTCCTCTCTCATCTCTCTCTCTCTCTACACACACACACTCATGCACCTTCTGGATCTTTCTGTTATTATACTGGAAGAACCACACGGAGAGAAAAAAATATGTGAAAAGTTATAGATCCTGTAAATCGATGGACTGTGGGCAAAGTTAAGGTCCCAAGTTGGACTTTGTCTGGACTCTTATCAAATCAATGAATGAATTAAATGATCAGAATATGAGATAGGATTAGTGATCTGAATCCGATATAACAATTGTTGAAAAAGCACAGATAACTGATATACTGGGTTAGTCTGTTGGGTTTAACGTGCTTTGGGTCATTTTGGTTTAAATTTTATTGTTACTTTACTTTTGTTGGGTTATTCTGTTATATAGTAAGCATATTTGTAATGGGAGGAGCTCCTTATATCTTTGTTCTTAGGCTCGTTTTGTGCCCATCCCTAGTGCCATTCCTAATGAAATTTTGCATTTACCCATCATAAGAAATGTGAAATTATTAGCTGCCAGTTAGTAGAGTATGAGATCATCAAGCTAACATTTGTATGGAGATTTTGCTATCTTTTGACAAAGCTGCGAGGAGTTTGATTTCCTTTTTTTAAGTTTATACTATCCCACTTACCCCTTGTTTCAACCAATAGATGTCCCCTGCTGAAGGAGCTCCAGAGGAGTTTGATCAGACAATCTTTACTGTGCAGAGAGATGGGACTGTAGGACCAGCTGAGAGGCTTGCTCTTAATCTGGTTAAGGAGCAACAAAGGTAAGCATCAGAAAATTCCTTTGAAGCACCCTTATGTCTTGACACACATTCCTCAATAAACAAAGAAACCAGCAAGAATTAGAGTTGGGGAAGTTTTGTACAGCCAGATGATAATGGGCTCAGATTTGATACATCTACCTGGTTCCTTAAGTTTCTTTGTTAAAATGCTTTTCCGCGCTATTAGTATAGGAACTAGTCTTCTGTGGTTAGCGTGCTGGAGATCTCAACTTTCTTTACTTCAGATTGATTTGTTATTTTTCCTGGGAATAATGCTTTTATTCTCTTCTGGGTGCTGAACGAGTTTGTATCTGATCTAACTTTTGTTACAAAGCGATATTTTGCCTAATTATGTTAATTGGAAGCTAGCAAGGGAGTTAACCAAAAGTTGGAACTATGAATAAACACAAAGAGTCAGTTCTAGAATAAGTAGAAGTGAGACGGATTGTGGTGCCTAAATGCGGACAACTCATATTTTTTGGTTCAATCTTCCAAGAGAATGGCATGATTGGTGAAAATGACATAGAATTAAGATATGATGTTTGAAATTGAGGAGTACCACAAAAGTGTTATGCGATATGGAGAAACGTAATAAAATGACATGCAAGTTTTATTGAACAATTGTGAGACCAACATGTTATATGGGAGTGAATGTTGAGTCTGTATGGTCTAACATATCCTATACAATGTATGTAGTAGAAATTCAGATGTTAAGATTCGACAAGGCTAGAAATGATCTCATCATATAGAGTGCAAGTAGCACAAATAGAGGATATATAAAGAGAAAGCTGCTTGAGATAGTTTACTCAAGTGCTACATGAACCTCCATATGCACCGGTTGGTAGGTGCAACACTGTTGTGGTTGAAGGTGATAAAAGGAGACGAGGTAGACGTCACATCACAAAAGAGAAGTTGTCTAAGAAGACCGACAATATAGTGGAATCAAATCAGACTCGACTAGGAGTAGAATATAATGGAAGCAACGAATCCATATCGGCATCGCCGACTAATTGGGATTGAGGTATAGTTGTTGTTAGACTTACATTAGGTCTGGTATTTGTTTGGAGTAATGATAAGCGTACGATCTAGTGAACTCTAGTACTAGAAAACCCATCATTTGCCTTAAAAGATAATTATTTAGATTGGAATTGGAATGATACTCTGGTTCAAGCGGAATTGATACAAAATATTCATAAACCTAACACTAATTAGTTTGAGATTGAGGCATAGGTGATTGGTTTATATATATTGCTTAATCGATTTGGTGCTTTATACCTATTTCCAGACAGCTCCCAGTGAGAAGTCTTTTCTCTAGTTTTGATCCATCTCTATTTCTCTCTATATTTATGACGTTGAGTTTTTCATTTCCTTGTATTGTTTCTCATGCATCAAGCTCTTCTTTTTATCATCATAATTCTGAGTACCTCTTTTTGGTTGCTTCTCCTATTAAACATTATTTACCTGGATTGATTAGAAATTGTCGATTGCTGAATTATAATTAGGGGCAGATCGTACTCTTCCGCTTGCTTACAGGAAAGTTAAATGATAACGCAATTGACTACACTTACAGAAAGGGATTGATCTTCAAGCTTTTTAGTATACAATAGATAATGATGTGTGAAGCCAATTCTGGATGAAGCTGTTCAATCAGTGCCATTTAGGACATGGCTGTTGTTGCCTCTGGCTTTAAGCCATCAATGGGATTTGGAATCCTAGATATTTAAATATCCTTGGTTACAATCTTGTGATGTTTGATCTCCTTTTTCGGATACAAGAGCTCAATCAAGGATTTCTTTATTCAATTAGAAAACGACATATCAAGGGTTTAGCATTTTATACCCTCGACACTCCCCAGAAAATGATATCCACCCTCTGGGAGCATCTGTGCATCCTGCAGCTCTTTAGAATCTTGTCAGCTAATCGCAATAACTCCTTCACTAATCCTGGTGTATGTAGGCAATCTGCAGCACCGTATGGTAAATCCCAGTTTTTCTTTTACTTGTCTCTTCCCTCATTTTAAACACCCAGTACTCTTGAATTATCCAACTTAAATAAGTTTTGGCATAAGTAAACTCCAGAATCAATTTTGAACAACCATATCTAAGTTAAACCTGTCAAATTCATGCAGTGTTGGCAGCTACAATAATAGCTATATAGCATGGGAAATTTTACTTTGGCTTGTCCAGAAGGCTAAGGTGCCCAAAAGCTCAAGGAGCTATTGGTAAACAGTCTGTTCTGTGTTTAAATATTCTGTACTAAAAAGGCTGCTAGTAGCAGTGACTTCTCAACTGGCTGTGCATCATCTGTTCAGCCATAACAACAACAAACCCAGTGTAATCCCACAAAGTGGGGTCTGGGGAAAAAAAGGACGTCTGTTGAGCCATCTTATCGTTTATTCGAAGTCTATTCAATACCAGCTAACAGATCTGCAAGGTTGGAAATTGCATTTCAAGCCCACATTGTAGGGGTCGAATACAGTCTAGACATACAGATTTGGGTTGTGATTTTGCTTCCCTTATGTTGAATGCTTAAAATAAATAATTTAATGATAGTGTTCCCCTTTAATAGCTTAAGGCCATTCAATGACTATTTGACAGAAGTCATGAGTTCGAAGCTCTGTCTCATAAAGGAAAAAAAAGTTTCCACGTGTGGCCTAAGAATAAAGAATCAAGTCCAGGGCCATGCTTGCAGCGTGCGAGGAGACGCGTGTTTGAATAGAAGACTTCTCTTTCCAATAGTTTAAACTTTTAGGTTATGCTTTTCATACAATTCGATTCCTTTGTAGCACATTTACTAGTCCAAATATGAAGCTTCGAATAATAGACGAGATTCATCACTTGGAGAGCATTTGTTTGTTCTGAAGAACAACATACTACTTCTATGATAATTTTCCTTGTGGGTCAAATCTATCCATAGTTCTCTTTGCTGAGTTTGTGGTGTAGTTGCTCGCATGGACAACAATGATAAGATGTCCTAACATGATAAAACTTAAGGATCTCTCAATAGATATTGCGCAGTTATACACTCATGAATTTTGTTAGTTGGTGCGTTCTTGTCACTTAAAGTCCTCGTTCTTATGCTGCTTTGCGTTTATGGTTGGGTAAAATTGGTAAGATCTGAAGTTACAGAATTTTGAGAGGAATGGCATGATAAGAATTAGAGGATTTTTGGATAAGAGTTCCATAGATTATTTGCATTTTGAGGTTATTGACATGATAAGAATGTGGTTGTGAGGGCTTATTTTACTTTATACCTTGATTGTTTGTGTGTGTGTGTGTGTTCTAACTCTGAGCTGCTGTTCTTTTTTATCTGATCTTATTTTACTTCTTGGATATGAATAGAAACTACTTAAATCTACTAATCACTATGCTGTTGCACATTGCAGGAAGAGGAGCTACACTGATACAGCCAACTTCACGTTGCGTTGTGGAGTTTGCCAAATCGGGGTCGTGGGCCAAAAGGTTTGACCAGCGCAGCTTATATCGTGGCTTGCTTCTTGTTATTATTCTGCCTACTTTCTTAAACTTGTGTTTTTTGCTAAAATTGCATTTGATATACAGGAAGCTGTTGAGCATGCACAAGCAACTGGACATGTGAACTTCCAGGAGTTCAAATGAATGAAACCCAAAGGACAAGAAACCAAGCAAAATATATTGATTTCATTTCTTTATACAAGTGGAAACCAATTTCATGAAGGTGTCTGCATGACTAAAAAGTTCTTCAAATTTCATAGGAAAGTGTATGGTGTACTCAATAAATAAGTTATGATGATGTATTAGCTAAAGTATGAAAGCACCCTGTTTATTTTGATGATGCAGTTGTTGTGCAACAGAAAATTGTCTTGCATTTTAGACAGACAAACATTGAGTTCTTATAAAATTTCCAGTCTACATTCAGTAACAGAAGAGTTAAACATTGTAAAAGGAACGGGAAAATGCTAGCATATCACGAGTTCAAATGATCTAAGATTAAAAAATAAATAACTATATTACAATTTTCTAGCCCGAACACTACGATTATCACAGACCTCTGGAACCTAGAGTGCCAGAGACATGATAGCTTGAGAATATGGTCCCACAGCAGCTGGACCCTTATCAGTATTATTTAACAGCCTCCTTTTTACGAGTACCTAATATCACAAATTGATCCCTATTACTCTTGGTAAATAACTCAACCTTCGACCAAGTGCACCATTCAACCTTCTTGGAGCATGGGGTGGCAACAGTTAATACTATATCAATTTTTCAATATGTACATAAAATATCTAATTTTACGGAGAGACCATGGGTTCACATGCCCCGTAATACACCTATAAATCCGCCCATGATCTACAACTTTAGACAAAATAACAATATCAGTGAGAAGTTACTCCTATACATTCGTTACTACTGTATATATTTGTAGCAAAAGGAGTACATTTAATTCGTCTAGGACAGTTGCATAAACTTTGTCATTAACTGAAGTGCAGTGGACGTGCATTCACTGCTTATATGTTGAATAACACCTGAATCAAAGTAAACTTCGAGTTTTGTCTTCATTATCCGTACTATCATGCCTTTCTTTCTTCAGGGCTTCAAGAAGAGAAGTGACGGCACGTTTCTGTTCTTCTGCCTAACAAATCATTTTAGGATGTCAACCAATCAGTCTAGGAAATTTTAGTTTTAAATAAGAAAAGAGATGCATTAGCTCTTCAATTACAAAACTGTGTAAGAAAATAACTGAGACCACCTTCTCTAACATAGCCATCAAGTAACTGATCTCGTCCTTTTTGGCTTCAGATAGGCAGTGCCCCAGGACTTCTTCAGTATTGCTCCTGCAAAATGACTAGCTATTACTAGAAGTTCTCTATATTTTCACTGGCATATAAGACTCCATGAAGCATTATACTAGCACTTACAAAGATAGAAGCCTCAACAACCATCAACATTCTCTCATTTAAAGAACCATGAAGAAGTTTGCATAATAGGCAGATATAAACTGAATTGTATGTTTTAGTTTTACTAATTAAAAATTCAGTATCTGGATATGCGGTATCCACCATGACCATAGAATTACATATTATTACTATCTATACCTATTGGTAGTGAAATGAGAACGCTTTTTCCTGCTCTTTTCTCCTTTTCCGGAGTTTGTAGTCCATGTTTTTCAGTTGACCATCCAGACCACATAATATCTAGCATGCACTAGACGTTTACTACCTTAAGAGTTGTCCCAAGGATATGTATTATATTCAGAGATACTTCAAAAATCTATACATAACCATAAGCCTTCGTGATACACATGTAGTCCAACAAATGTACAAGTCCATCTATTGAATCACATGGAAATTCACAAAAGAAGTCCAGTTCCAATTTCAAGAAACCAAGAATAGTCTGTGGAAACCTTATCAAAAAAAAAAAAAAAGAATAGCCTGTGGAAGATAACTATTGTGCTAATAGTGCATCGGTACATTGACCATCAACAAATAGCTTCTACACTAAAGAAAATCAAATAATCAATGCTACATTTTCGTTTATTTTCTCACGTTTAAAGAGTTATAATAAGATATGATTCAACTTCTACGTTAAAGTTCTCTTTCAGGTCAAATCCTTTGAGAAATTGGAAAATCAGTAGTCAATACATCTTTTGACTCTGTCATGGTGGTGTGCAAACTGTAAAGTTATTAAGGTATTAAAGCTGCACAAATGGATTGTACTGCACTTGGCAACGTATAAAAGCTAACAAGACAGTTCAGAGGTAGCATGGGAAGAATAAGATGAGAAGAATAACCAAAACCAGAGAAGCAGAAGTGTAAACTATAAAGTATCTAGACAATTTTGATGCAAATTATAGTGTACAAATGTATGTTCTTCAGATACACCTACAGCACAAATCCTTTCCTAGAAGGTCATTTTTCTTGTTACACCACAGGATATATGCATGGGTTTGAGGACTCAAAACTTAGTACTCTATGTCACTTGTAACAAGAAAGACTACTATAGCACTAAGGATGATCGTCACAGTTTTTTAGCACATATGCGCAGGTCCAGTTATCATCTAGAGTGGATTTCCTTCACGTGGTGTGACCAAAACAGAAAAATAGAATTCCAGAAAGTTTTTTCTAAAACAATAGTGGGTAAAAGAAAACCATTCAAATCCTGCTTATGCATTTTTGCAGAATGGGAGTAAGCATACCTCTCCAGAAACAAGGGGTTCAAGCTTTCTTCCAAGCGTTGTTCTTCCACAAGCTCCTCCACCATGTTTAGAGTTGTTCCTGCCTACAAGTAGGAAACACGATCCCAAGGAAAACCATATCACACATTATTCCAACTTAACAACCAAAACTCACATAAGCATTCCAGGTTAACATCATATCAAAAGAAATGGTATTGGAAAATGCTTTTTTCCTAATAAAAGAATTCAGTCAGCTGAAATGTGGACATAATTAACTTGTTGGAATCTGTCTTCTATAATATTGATTTGCATGCGCAATAAGTTACATAATCAAACGAATACATGAGGGAACAAAGAATTTTTAAGGAAATTTATGGCCCCTTCATTAAAAATTCTCATACAGTTAATTTCCTTCTCTCTTATGAATCTCTTCTCCAACGGCATAACTAGGTTTTACAAGGCAGAGCTTTCTCAAACAGTTTCCAATACATGGAACCTTTGTTCCCATCAGGCATAATAGAATAAATGATCACAGTAAATGAAATTCTAAATGGAGGTCAGCCTACACTTAATCCATATGAAAGCAAAGCTTTATCTGAAATTCTCAACATTACAATGAGAGAGACTTCTATGAAAGCACATTTCATAATCTAGACGTAAATTTATAGATATTTTCCAAGAACTTCTCTTTTCAACAATATACAATCCTCAGTAATGCTCTAGTATCTTCAGATTTTGTCCAGAAGAGGAACAAGTCCAAGAAGAACTTATATCTCAGTTGAAAAGTACACATCCTGAAAAGTTAATAGTGCAGTGGTCAACTGAAGACCAGTTGGCACCTGGCAGTCCTCATAGACCGGGGGTGTAACTTTTGCAAATCTTTATTCTTTTATTCACCTTACAATATGGATGCCAGGAGAATCTAGTTTAGCTGTCAGCTAAACGGATAAGTACGCTCTTGAAGGACAGAAAATGAAATTTCACGTTTAAACTTAATCATGATTTTTTACTTTCAAAACCATATTTTATTAGAAGTGGAGAGATGTTTTAGTAGAAAAGAGATGGTAGAGTAGATCTTGCAGAATGCTTAGTTTTGAAGCAGCAACGGGAATATTTATTATGTAAGGTTTATTCAATTTTTACTTCTCCAGAAATAGGATGCATATTTCTCAGAATAACTTTAATTAACTAAGAAGCATATGATATGTACCTGTGTCTCCTCGCATAAAGACTCAAATTCATCCTGCAACATTTGAAACAGACAATTCAACATTGCCCTTCCAATTAAAGGAGAGAATAACAAAATCTAACAACTAATATATTTGATATAGTCAACTCATATCTGTTCAATTCAAAATGAGAAGCTCGTCAAAATTCTATAAGTTCATTAGGAAACGTGGAATAATACTTTGGAATAGCACTATAACTACAACAAAAATAAACCCAATAACAGGGTCATTAAGCAAAATAAAAATGGAGAGACAGTCTATATGTATTCTCTTTCCATAAATAAGAACTAGTATCCAAATGACCCCTGGTCACATTGAGAAGGAATGAAGATTTAATAAGAAGTTTCAAAGAATTGCACGTGCATTTGACTATAATATCTTAAACACAAACTAAAGATTCATTTCATGTATCGATTTTCCTTTTAGTTTGGGGGGGGGGGGGGGGGGTTGGGACGAAGCGTGTTGAGGATATGAAGTAAAATAGACTTCTTCAAGTTCCTTTGACGGAGAAGAGATAACACATGAAACATGAAGAAAGCAAGAGTAAGCACGTATGCCTAATATTCCAAGTTCCAACTGATAATGAATCATCATATTATAGAGTAGAACATCTAAACACTAGTATTCTTCAAAGCTCTCTCTAAGCAAGAAGCATCATGCCTGATCTACTGTTTCTTTAGGGATTAAAGCTAAACATCAGTTGAGCTTATTGTGAAATAGAAATACCTGACACAAACCATGTATTTGACAGGCTATCAATCAATAGTAACAGTTAGCAAGAGAATCAATTGAATAAGTATTCAATCACAAGTAAAGATTATGCTTGTAGTGTTTTAAAACGTATACATCAATTGAATAAGTATTCATACATCAAACAGACCAAGCCCTAGCACTAATAGAACAAAATCAAAGATGCTTGAGATTAGGAAGATTCATCAAAACTGCCGATTAAACAAGCACAACAATTATTACTAAACGAACCGTGATGATTGATAGCAATAAGTTGTACACGTCTTTATATTCTTCTATTAATTAATTTACTTATGAAGGTGGTGATTAGGCTAGCTTGCGGGAACCTCCATTATTCCATTAGGTATCTGCTACCTCCCATCAGCACAGGCGTCGCGTAACTCTGTCCCCCAAGGATTACGCAGAAGGCTAACTTTTCACCCTAACGCATAACCTTCATTCTTTGTAATAACAATAAACATAATTTTATGCATTAAATTTCACCAAGGGAAAAAAAGGCCATTAAATTGTATTCACGCTAAAGCCAAACCTCAAGAAACTCAAAAGAATATGTGTTGGCCTTTCACGTGCAATTGGAAGACAACACATAATTGTGTAATTTCGACCAACTCAAATTTAATTAAACAACCCCGCTTGATGTTATTATTCATCACAACATATTTCCAACCGTCTTTGAACCATCTCCGTTTACCCATGTTAATTTCCATAAACCAAGGCTCGCCATCATATCGAAGAACCGCTATGCTATGTGATTCAGGAATGTGGTCGTAAAAATGTTTTGGAATATGCTGCAAACAAAAAGAAAAAAAAATTGTTTGAGAAATATTTTTTCCAAAACAAAATCTAAACACACATATTAAAAAAGATTAACAATATGTTTTTCAGAAATAAAAAAAATTAAAACCAAGTCGAAAACCAGATCTGCCCCTCTTCAAAAACCAAATCGAAACATCACCTATTTCGTTTCTGATTCTTTTGCAAAACCAAGTCAAAAAACACAAGCATTTAAAAAAAAAAAAAGATCTCATTTACCATATAATCTTGCTTGATGTATGAATCCTTCACGAGCACTTCAAATGATGGATTTTTATCTTCGTCGTTTTCATCAGAGGAGTAGCCGGATGCGGATCGTTTGGTAGCGCTGGGAGAGGGGTCCATGGTTGGGTTCTAGGGTTTGTGTAAGAGTTAGGGTATTAAAAGTTGTGTGTGTGTGCGCGAATGGGTATAACTATATATATAGACACATTTAAATATATAAATAAAATAATTTATATAAGGTAAATAGCATTTCACCACCTGACTCAGACGAACTTCAAGTAAGGAGATATTTTTTAAGGTAATATAAATCTTACCTTCAAATATATATATATATATATATATATATATATATATATATATATAAAAGATAATTTCATTTAGCAGCTGATACATAATACGTATCGGCCACTAATTCTTCGTAGCAACTATATAATTCACTTGCTTTAAGGTTAATTTCATTATATATATATATAGTTATACTGAACGTCTATATATATATATATATATATATTGAACCTACGATAATTACATCGTTGCGATTCACAGTTATATAATAGCCGCCGTTTATGTTAATTTCATTCATTAAGTTCATATGTATCGGCCAATGGCAACCATATAAGTCCACCGACTAAGGTTGTAGTCATATGACCTACGATAATTACATCGTTGCGATTTCTCACCCCCCCATGTCTAGTATTAAGCTAATTTTATCGAATGCATTAAGCAGTCTAGTAATAAACACACAACAAATGATGAATGATTCACAGCACGAAACATAAGAAAATTAAAACACGGCATGTAACACAATTGTAAAAACACGGCATAACAGGATTGTCAAAACACGACATGTTACAGAATTGTCCAAAACATGACATGTACCAGAATTGTCCAAAACACGACTTGGGTGGATTATAGTGGTGTACCTATAGCACTGGATAATATTGATTTGGAAGGAAGTTTTGGAGAAACAACATTCAACAACCTCAGTATAATTGTGATTAGGAGCATTCGAGAGACAAAACCTCACATGCAGCTGTTGAAGCTTATTCTGGTAAAGTCTCCGGCTCTTACGAGAATCATAATCGAGGCATTGACGTATGAAGATTATGAAATCTCAAATCAGTAATTGAGCATTCAGAGTTTAGGTGTGCATCACCTGACGCAGAAGTTGTATTAAACTACTAGTACATTTATGTTTTTTTTTGACAATTCTGGTACATTGCATGTTTTGGACAATTCTGGTACATGTCATGTTTTGACAATTCTGTAACATGTCATGTTTTGACAATCCTGTTATGCCGTGTTTTGACAATTGTGTTACATGCCGTGTTTTAATTTTCTTATGTTTCGTGCTGTGAATCATTCATCATTTGCTGTGTGTTTGTTACTAGACTGCTTAATGCATTCGATAAAATTAGCTTAATACTAGACATGGGGGGTAAGAAATCGCAACGATGTAATTATCGTAGGTCATATGACTACAACCTTAGTCGGTGGACTTATATGGTTGCCATTGGCCGATACATATGAACTTAATGAATGAAATTAACATAAACGGCGGCTATTATATAACTGTGAATCGCAACGATGTAATTATCGTATGTTCAAATTATATAAGTCCTTAAAAAATGCTATATATAGTGAAAGGTAAGATTTATATTACCTTAAAAAATATCTCCTTACTTGAAGTTCGTCAGAGACAGGTGGTGAAATGCTATTTACCTTAAACAAATTATTTTATTTATATATTTAATTGTGTCTATATATATAGTTATACCCATTCTCACACACACACACAACTTTTAATACCCTAACTCTTACACAAACCCTAGAACCCAACCATGGACCCCTCTCCCAGCGCTACCAAACGATCCCCATCCGGCTATATGATGAAAGCGACGAAGATAAAAATCCATCATTTGAAGTGCTCATGAAGGATTCATACATCAAGCAAGATTATATGGTAAATGAGATCTTTTTTTTTTTTAAATTTTGTATTTTTAAATGCTTGTGTTTTTCGACTTGGTTTTGCAAAAGAATCAGAAACGAAATAGGTGATGTTTTAATTTGGTTTTTGAAGAGGGGAAGATCTGGTTTTTGCAGAGGGGCAGATCTGGTTTTCGACTTGGTTTTAATTTTTTTTTATTTCTGAAAAAACATATTGTTAATCTTTTTTAGTATGTGTGTTTAGATTTTGTTTTGGAAAAAATATTTCTCAAACAATTTTTTTTTTCTTTTTGTTTGCAGCATATTCCAAAACATTTTTACGACCACATTCCTGAATCACATAGCACAGCGGTTCTTCGATATAATGGCGAGCCTTGGTTTATGGAAATTAACATGGGTAAACGGAGATGGTTCAAAGACGGCTGGAAATATTTTGTGATGAATAATAACATCAAGCGGGGTTGTTTAATTAAATTAGAGTTGGTCGAAATTACACAATTATGTGTTGTCTTCCAACCACAACTACATCCATATCTGATCAAGTTGAGTCTAGCAAGCAAAACAGTGCAAGCACAGAACAAGGAAAGAACATTCTGCATAAGAATAAGGAATCTACTAAACAAAATGATCCTTCTGTTCAAGAGAGAGTAGACAGGAAAAAGAAAAAGGAAAAAGAAAAAAGGAGGGAGAGAAAGGAGAGAACTGCTATCCAGAGAATCATTAGCAAGAAAAAGACACAGAAAAAAGGGATTCAACAGCATTTGGTGGAAGATGAAATTGTCTCAACTGGAACTGATGATAATAGAGAATGCTTAGCTAAAACTAATGAGTTAGTGGAAGTTATTTCTAAGCAACCCAGAGCAGATGTTAACAAAGAATGTCAGACTACAAATATTCAGTCAGTGGAAGGTGTTTCTAATCAACCTGGAACTGTTGATAAATTAGATGACAAACAACTCTACTAAGCAACAAAGGAATGGTGATGCTGAAGAAATATGTACTACCATTGAAACTGAAGCTATAGAGGGTGAAACTCATTGTTCAGGAGTTGAAGTGAATAAGAATAACAATCAGATAAATAAGGAGATAGAAAATAATTTTGGAGCCAACAAGATGATGGTACAAAGAAGAGTGGTAGTGGTTACTGGATCAGAAGAAAAACAATCTTTGTGTGTCCTGACAAAAAAATCAAAACCCCCAATAATTGTTTTTTAATGAATAGTTCTATCAGTTGTAACATTAGAGGGGTTAAGTCTAAGGGTGCTTTCACTAGACTCAA